GCAGTGCTGTGGAAACTGAGTCCTGCTTGGGATGGTGAAGATGGGCAAAGCATTTGGTCTTGACTTGAGGACTGTGTGGAATCATGGTAGAGTCTTGCATCTTGCATGCTGATTCTAGAGAATAAGCACATAAGGAACTAGCCAGAGAATGTACTGAAAAGGTGACTAATTCCACAAACTTCAGAATTAACTCCTAAGCAACTTAAAAGTTCAAAGAATGTGGAAGATAAACTCAAATAGAACAATTAAATATACCCTTTTGGAGTGGGAAAAGGTTTCAAAGAATTTGATCTATGAAGAAGGAAATAATAAAAGTGGTCTCTGGAAACAAAAGAAAAGAAGGCTAAACATTGACTATAATAACATGATTTGAATTGTTACCTGGGAAGTTTTAGTGGCCCTGTGTCTGCATCTTAAAAATGACACATCATACTTTCTATCAAATACATCTGTGCCATGTTCAAAACCAATGGGAGCAGATTTCAAATCATCACAACCTTCAGCTTTTGAGGAGCAGCACACCCCCCCCCCTCACTCTGTGAGATGGAGATTGAACCCATCTGTCTCCATGTGCCATCTCTCCTCTGGCCTCCTCTCTTAGGGCCCCAGTATGTGGGCTGCAGGCAGCTGGCCACATTTATTCCCCAATACAGGCTGGATGTAGGTGGGTGGGTAGGGGTGCAGTTATAAAGAGCTTCTGAGAACAATGGATGCCATGGAAATGCTTTGGGAACATCGAGTATAAAAAAGGAAGCCCCAAATTAAACAAAAGTAGAAAGAAATGAATCATGAGTGTAAATAAAAGGTAAATTGTTCACTCTCTCTCATATAGATATATACCTCCCCCTGTCACACACACACCACACAAAGTGATATTTGCATTCAGCAATAAACAACAAAAGCAAACTGCAGAATAATATATGACAGTTCCATGATTTTTGTAGCTAAAAATGATAAACAACTGACAATTTCATGTAGTTTCAAGATATATATTAGCATTTATAAGTATGTTTAATCATATATATATGATAAAACATACATATATATGATTAAATATATATATATATATATGTATATATATATATATATTTCCCTAATATAAATATATATTTTATATTAGGAAAAATATAGGCTTATATATATAATTTAATGGTTACTTTCTGGTGGTGAAATTTTTTGTCTTTGTGATTGTACTTTTTATTTTGGATTCAATAACTGCTTGGTAACTATGTAAATAATAGAAATAATTCTCAAAGAAAAAAATGACAACTTAGAGCACTATTAAAAGCCACTTTTTGAATCTTTAACTTTTAAATACAAAGAAAGATTATAAGATTAAGTTGCAATTACCGATCATCGACTTCCCTTTACCCTGAAGGTAGCTGTCAGTATATAAGGTAGACCCTGTGAAAATTGTTATGATTTTCCCAAACCACAGCTCAGCTGCAGCGGACTCAAAATTGTAGCATTTCTCTGCCTGCAGGACACAAAAGGGGCCCTCCTGGGCCTATCTGTATACCCAAGGGCCCCAGGGAGGCAGAGACTAACTGAATTTGACCATGCAGAGCCCCAGATTTGTTGCCAGGAAGTGGCAATAATCACAAAAACACAAACCCCAATTAATCAGGAGCTCTTGGAGTGGGGCCCAGCCATGGGTATTTATTTTAAAAGCTCCCCAGGTAATTCTAAATGTGCAGCCAACATTCAGAACCATGGCCCTAATGGACTAATTTACTAAGGGGTCATTTAAATACGGCCTTTGGATAGAGGTAAAATGAAAGCAGAGAGGATTTGGTTGACCAAGGCCAAGTTGTTGCATGGCCTTGAGCCTTGTGAGAAAATGATTATGCAAACAGAGTAACAGAACATTGAATGTGAAGTGGGCAGTTCTTGCAAAGTTAGAGAGGTCAGTGGGTGGCCCTCCCTAGTGCCCATAAACCGATGTCAAATCAGACATCTCTAGTTAGGAAAATGCTCTGTGGTGGCAGCTTGCTGTCAAGGTAAAGTTATTTCACAAAATGCAGCAGAACCAAATTTTGATGCTGATGCCATGGGACTAAAGCTGTCTTGAGCCCCAGAGGCCTCTAGCCTTTTCCATAAGAGGATGCACACTAATACAAGAGACATGCTGGACTTCAGCACAAAGTAGCAGCCTCTTGCATAATTTTTACTCTGATTTAGGGAATCATTTTGAATGCATTCTTTATTTTTTATTTGTTGTTTTCAGATATACATGACACTAGAGTATATTTTGAAATATTATACATATACGGAATGCAACCCACTCCAAACTTTATCCCATTCTTGTGGTTGAATGCATTCTTGTGGCCTATGTGTCTTTGGTTGATATCCTACAGATAGATGTACAGTAGGTGCAGACAGCAGAGCCCCTAGTGGCCTTCTGGTTTCTGCCTTTTTTTTTTCTTTAATATATCAGGAAACTGAAGTTTTGACTTGCCTTGATCTTACAGTAAGCAGAGGCCAGGTGTAGACCCAAATTTAACTTTCTTCACTCAGGTGTGCCCAAATCTTGCTAGAATTTCTGATTTGGAGTTTTGGCTTGTCCATAAGCAGTAGCACAAATAGGCATTTTTTCACTCTGAATAGATGATGATCCTGATAATCAGCATCATGATATTCAGGTATTGACATTATATTATTAGCTTCCATTTATTACAGTTATTAATGACAAAATATGTGCTAGCCCTATGCTGCATCCTTACTATCAACCCTCAAGGATTATTTTTATTCCCATTTATCTTCAGAGAACACTGGGGTCTCACAAGAAGAATGCAGATACTTCAAGATTTCAATTCAGTTCTGACCCGAAGAGTCTGCACTAACTGCACAGTACCACAGTGCTCATACCCATAGTACCAGAGCTGGGTCAGAGGGGAAAATGCCCCTCTCCTGCCCTGTGTGCCTTATGGCCTGATTTCTCTGTCTCTGGATATTATAGCCCCGTTACCTCTTTCTTCTTTCAGAGCTATACCCAGTGAAACTCTCTCACCCTGATTTTTTCATAGCCTAACTTTATTTTATTTATTTTTCTGGGGAGTAGTTATATATCTCACCTGTTTCTAATGGAGTTTTATTTTGCTACCTGGCATAATCTCCATTTCCTGTGGTTCAGAAGGAAGAAAATACTGTTACGCTCAGCCAGAGTTCTAAACAGATGTTCTACACGTCTCCTTGTGTGGTTGTAGCAATGCATCACTTTCAGACACCTCAGCCCTAGCCTGCCAGCATCACTGTGCCCATGCCAAGTGCTTTGAGATATCCTGCAATAAGCAAAATCTGAAGCTAGGCTAAACCCACCAAAGTCACTTCATTCTAATTCTTGAGTGTATTAGCATCTGGATGTCAGGAGGTGCCACCTGCTCTTGGGAAATTTCGTGGTGTTGAATCAGTACAGTAAGGGGATTGCAAGGATTTAGTTTTTAAGAAGCCTGACGGTGTGAAACTCATACTGTCATATCACCATACACAAATTATTATCTTTCATAGGAATTTTTTATTTTAGAGAAAGTTCTGCCAGAAATTACCCTCAGCCATCTCAATTTCCTCTTCTATTAAAAAAATGGCTCATTTGCAAGTGTGTAGTTACCCACAACTTGTAAAAGCTACTTCCATAACCTATCAGATGGCAAAATACACAAAAGCTATATTTAAACCACACTACATTTGTATACTGAAAAGGCTTTCTGTCAAAGTCAGTATTAAGTGCAGGAATGGGTTAGGGTAAGAGAAATTCCATGGAGACCTCTGGATATAGCAGTTTATCTGCCTGGGAGGGGATATGGTGCAGTCAGTCAGATAATATTTATGAAGTTCTCAAATGTGTAGTGTGCTAGATTTGATTCAGTTAAAAACATAATCCAAAATGACAGTCTCACTCCTGGTGGCTCACCTTCAGGCAGATAGAGAAGGGGACTACAAAAGGTGACCTTTCAAGGCCCTTTCCCGTTGTGTGATTCTGTGAGGAATAACAACAGCCCAGGTCCCTTTGTCTGACAGTATCCCACATAAACTCTAGGAAGGAAATGATGATGGGGGGAGCACCATGAGATCTTCCAGAATCTTGGCATGGCATTGAAGGAGAGTCCTTTCCGGTTTCTGCATTGTGGTGGAGCTGTTTTGGTCTGAGATTGGACCAGAGGCAGGAAAAATGGAGAGAGAGCAACTCTGTTATAAAACAAAAAAAGCCACAGCACCAAGTCTCAATGTGATCTGCATGGATTCTATTATTTGGTGAAGGGCTAGGAAAGAGGATGTAGGGCCTTGCAGGGGGCTGATAAAGTTCCCTCAGTTGAGCTCTGACTACTGAGGTCCTGCTGATTGTCCTTTCTTTTTATCCACCTTACCTGATGGGCGCACTGCTGAATATCATTATAAAATGATAACTTTTCCAGTTTGGGAGGTGGTACACATTTTAACAGCTAAGGAAGAAATGAAACAAACACACAGTGATTTATTAAAGACAGAACTCTAACATGCTCACAATACCACACCCACAACCCACAAACCCCCACACACAGATAAACAGAATTTGGAATTTTCTGTCCAGTCCATGATTACTGCAAATCAAGGCAGGATCCCTTTAAATATTTATCCACTGGTCCATTTTTCTATCATCACATATAGTGAAATGGTATCTCTTACCTGAACAGGCTTCTCACTGCATATAAAAAGGAACAGGCAGCAAGTTCACTGCTCCTACCAAACTGATAACGACTAGGAAAGGCAACAGAGAAAAATGCTAGCAAACTGGAGATAAAATAAATTTTTAAAAATCAAATGATCATCTTGGAAAAATATTTCAAAAGAGGCAAATAAAAAATAGAATGAAAAAGAAAAACACGGACAATGTAATCCGTATTGTCTGCAGAAATGGAGAAAATGTATCATTTATAGAGGTAGATATAAAGTGATACAGAAAATATATCTGCTCCATGTAAATTTATTAAATGCAACTTTCTTTTTCTCTCTCTTTCTTTTAGATAAAAAACCTCTTCATGAAATAAAACCCCAAAGTAAGTTATTTTTCCTCTTGTGAATATAATTTATTCTCATATTTGCTGCCTTACTGTTGTATTTGTATAGGAACCAAACAGAATTGAAGTCCCCATGAAAGATCCAGGGCTTTGGGGGCTTCTTCTCATTGAGTTTGGAGTTGCATATCAGAGGTTTAAATCAAAAAGAAATATGCACACCCTTTCCCTCCCTCTGAGCACAAGTAAATCTCTCTTCTTGATTCTTTCTGCCTGTAAGTCCATTGCTCTGCAAATGTCATCTAGGATTCTTATTTCTGGAGAGATTTATAGCATTAAAATTAATAAATATTTTTCATTCTACACTTTCATGAGAACAGCCTTTTAGGCAAAAGCCTGTCTCTAAGCTATTCCACTGAGGAGGAGAGGAAGTGGAGGAAGCAAACCCAGAATCTTACCTGCGAAGGCATCCATGACAACTGGGTAGATGAGGAGCCAGATTTCCACAGTGAAATAATTATGAACCCAGAATGTTGGTGTTGGTGCTGGCATGCTCCCTAGATGCAGACATGCTTCCTGAAAGAGACCTTTGCATTATTTCCATTTTATGCATCCTATAGCTATGGAGAAAGGAATGTGGCTTAAATGCTTGGCAGCTTGCCATTTGACCCTGTGGTTCTCAACCTTAACTGTACTTTGGAATCTCCCAGAGGGCTTTTTAAAATCCCAGTTCCAAAACTGTACCAGTGAAGTCAGTATTTGCGGTGGGAGGGTGTTAAAATCCAGGAGACCCCATTTTTTTCAAACTTCCTCAAGTGATTCCAATGTGCAACTCAGGCTAAGCACCACTATCTAAGAAAAGCAGTTCTCAAAAAAAAAAAAAACAAAACAAAACAGATCAGAGATCAAATGCATCCAGATCTTGGGGTATGGTGGGAACTTATTAAATAGCCCCACCTTAGAATAGAACAAGTGAATTAGAATCTCTGGTGGGGGTTGCTGTTAAGTATTTCCATGTTAACATGTCCTTTTGGTCATCGTCATACACTCAGAAATAGGTAAAGTATCCCAAGAAACTTCAAGATAGAAGGCATCAGCAGTTCAGCTCTTATCAATAGAAGAGTAGACAGCTACCCAGTTGGTTTGATTTGTAAAGCTTGTGAAAAATGTCCTGGCCCACTTTCCTTCATTTTAGTATAAAATGAATGACTTTTGATCTTTTAAATCCTAGGGCATTAAGATTCAAACAGCTTGGGAGAGTTAATAGTTTTTATTAGCTGACTTCTTTGAAAGACTTAAGACCCTGTGAGGATAGACAGAAATAGGTACCTTGGGGCAGGCCATCAGGAAAGATGAGAGAGAGATCCAGAAAAGCCATTCCATTCATACTTCCTTATATTGCTTTAGGCAAGCCAGAGATATAAAGATGTTGTTACTTGCAGAGTCAGAAAACTTTGTAAAATAAACTTTCTTAACTTTTTTCTCTGCAGCCATCTGCTCATACAAGAATCACTGGTACTTAGGTTATCTGCACTCTGACATCATGCATAGTGGCTTTTGAATGCATAGAAAGATGGAGTTTGGGGAGCCTGGCTATGTATGTGTGGGCTTGTATGTAGGTATGTGTGCACGATGAGGAAGGGGAAAAGACAGGGCCACTGAATATTTGGCCTGTGCTGTGTCAAGGTCCTCGGGGTGACAGCTGGAGGGAAAGGACTCTTACCTTCCTCTTTGTTCTATGTGCATGCCATCTGCAGGTTTGGGTGCATACCACAGGCAAGATTGTGACCGTCCATGTGGTGGCCGAGATGAAAGTTACTTAGAAATGCATGTGTGTGTGTTTTTAAAATTAATTTCATGCTCAGTTTGTGAGTACTGTGGCATTCAAATTTGGTTACATCTGTACTTCCAGTCATAAACCCCACAGAAGCTATTTCTAGTCCTTAGGGAGTCCTGAATTAGTTTTTGCTTGGGGTTCTCACTCCTGAGTACCATGCTTAATTGCTGGATACTGCAATGGAATCGCTTAAATGGTTTTAATTTGTGATTTCCCTAAAAATAAAACTTTAACAGAATCAATGTGATTGCAAAAGGCTCCCAGAGGAATCCAATCGGAGTTCTGTAAGCGGCGTGGTTAGAAGTGCATTATACAAATTCAGGCTGCATCGTTCAGCGAAAGTGGGGCTTAGTTTAAGACTACATGAATCATCACTGATGCAAAAATCAAAGTCAATTATGAAGATAATTGAGAAACAACCTGTTCCTATATATAGCTGTACACACGATCCTCCACAAGGCCTGGTGGATAGAAAACATCACTTGGAACTTCGCACACAGTCCTCCGTGAGCAGGCGGGCAGAGGAGCCAGCTTTGAGTTGCGGGGAGGTGTAAAAAGAAAGTGAAGTCTTAAGATATCTGTTGGCAAATCATAATGACAAACTGGGGGAAATATGTGCACTGCATAGCTCATGAAAGCACTTATTGTAAATGAGATAATTTAATCAATTACGTTTCCTAATGTACTAAACCGAATGTTTCATTTTCTGCTTCTGCACATCTTAAATTATCTTCAGGTGCTTTATGAGATTTAATCATAGTTAATAGAAACTTCATTACCATCAAATGTGCTTTCAATAAATGTTGTGTAACAATGTCAGGAGGTGCAGTAAAATATAGTAGGTTCTGAATGGCAAACGCGCACCCCCAGAGTCAGACTGAAAAATGGTTTCGCTCAGACAATGAAACTCCTTGGAGGCTAGAAGAATGTGGTTTTCTGAAAAGCTGTGAGCTCCTGAGGAGTCTGGTTCGTAAGTTCACCTGCAGGGTAAACTAACAGGATTTAGCTTTCTCTGAGAAAAACCTGAGCACTATATCTCCTCACCATTCCTCCTTTCTTCAGAGCTAACGGAGATGAATGCTGAAGCGGAATCCAACTAGTTAACTTCTAGAGTCAGCTACCTCCAGAACATCTTCAGCTGGATATCTCACAATAACCTTAATCTCAACCTCCAAATTGAATGTATTCTTCTCTGAAACCTGTCTCTCCTCCATCCCACTTCCCTTCTTCTCGCTTGCAATGAACTCAGTAGTCTGGGTCGGAAGTCTGGACAGATTCCTAGTCCCATCTGTCTTCATTTCTCTTCTGTTGCTCAATATCCAAAAAACAATCACCAATATCTCAATACTACCCAAACAGATTTCAGGTTCATCCACTGCTCTCCATTTCTATTCTACTCAAATCCTTCTCTCCATTCATTCAGCAGTTTAATTGAGTGCTTACTGGGTGCTAGGAGATGGTCTAGGGAATGGAGAATCAGCACTGACCACAACACCTACAGTTTCAGCTTTCAGGAAGCTCACAGTTTTAGAGAAGGAAGGTAGAATAAATAAGTAAGGCAGCAAATACACAGTGCTAAGTGTTGTAGAGATGGTGTGAAGAGTTAGAAAGAGAAATGAACTAGGGTGAGGGGCTTAGGCAGCATTGGCGGGAGGGTTGATTTTTGGTGTGAGTTGTTCATAGAAGATCTATGTAATAAAATTAAACTTGAGAAGAGACCTGGGGAAAAAAATGCAAGGAAACAAACAAACATGCTGGATATCTGGGGGACAAGATATGGGGCAAAACAAACAGCAGGATGCAAAGGCAGTGTGAGGTGGGAGCTCACTTGAAGTGTCTGAGGGACAACAAGGAGGCCAGGCTGAGGAAGAATAGTAATAGCTGAAGTCCAAGAATAGGGTTGGGGGAAGACCCCATGTGTGTTTTAGTCCATTATAAGGACCTTGAGTTTTACTCTAAGTGAGATAGGAAGCCATCAAGGGTTTTTATTCAGAGTGATGTTACCTAATATTTTCAAGGCTAAACACTGTCTGCTGCATTGAGCGTAACCCTATAGGGAACCAAAGAAGAAGCAAGGAGATCTATTAAAATGATCTGGTATACGCTATGAGGATGATCCAGGTTCAAGATGATTGTGGCTTTAGCCAGAGAGGTAGAAATAAGAATTATAAAAAAGGTGTCCTATTCTGAAGGCACACAAAAAAGGATTTGCTGATGAATTGGGCCTAATGTATGAGAGAAAGAAAAATGTTGTGGGTAATCCCAAAATTTGGGCCACACAACAGATGGAGTTGCCATTATTGATGTGGGGACAACCTGGTTTAGCAAATCTGGAGGCAGAAGCAAGGGCTCAGCTTCAGATACCTATTAAAGCATCTGAACGGAGAGATTGAATAGGCAGTTGAATATATGAGTCTGGAGGGCAGAGGACTGTCCTGGCTGGTAACATAAATCCAGGGCCTGTCAGTGTCCAGATGATACTTAAAACCATTCATTTAGATGAGATCACTGGTGGATACCAAATGTGAATAAAATACAAAGATCTAAGGACTGAGCCCTGAATGACAATAACACTTAAATATAGAGAAGGTCAAAAGTCACTGCAGAGGAGAAAGGAAAGTAACAGCAGCAGGCATAGTAGTAATGGACAACCAAAATGAAAAGAAAATGTTCCCAGAAGAAGAGTTTTCAAAGTCAGGCCATCTTCCTAACTAGGATTTCTACAGTTGCCTCCTTGTATCCAGGCTTGCCCTGTATCAAATTTTTCTAAGCTTTTCAAAACATTAATTCTTATCACCTTCCTGTTTAAAACCCTTCAGTAGCTCACCTTTGTTCTTACGATGAAGTCCAAAGAAATTATGCACGATCTGTGCCCAGCTTCCTTCTCCTAATCCTTTCAGCTTCTCTTTTTTATTTTTTAAATTTATTTCTTACATACATGACAATAGTGGAATGCATTACATTCATAATTATCCATTCACAGCACAATTTTTTGTAACTCTCTATATTAAGTATGTTCACGCCAAATTATGCCATTATACATGAGCTCTCTTATTTTTTTTGCATTACAGTTCTTAATACACCTTTATACCATAATGTATCATATTTCTGTTTGTATATATGGTATATTAACACCCAATTCACATCTTCACACATGTATTTTGTATAATGATGAGGGTCTCCTTCCACCATCCTTGCTATTCCC